GTATGAGTGTTTTGCCTAATGTATGTTAAGTGCACCATGTACATGCAATGACCATGGAGGCCAGAAGAGGGCATCAGATCCCCTGGAACTACAGTTATAGACTGTTAGCCACTCTGTGGGTGCTGGGAAACAACCCGGATCCTCTGCAAGAGCAGCCAGTCCTCTACCGCTTCTCTCCAGCCCTGTATTTATGTTTTTGAGACTGAGTGTCACTATGTAGCTCAGGCTGGCCCAAACTTGAAATCCTCCTGCCTCAGCCTCCTGAGTACTAGGAATAGAGATGTGTGCATGGGTGGCCAGCATAGGTCATAGTCTTCCTAGAACCTCATCTCCTAAGTGACCTACCCTCATAGCTGCTGTGTTTTCCATTGGTTTCACAGGTCAAACCTGGAACAGTGGGAGACTGTTCAATGGGATGACACGCATAAGGAATAGGTTGTCCCTGATTGCCACCAGAGGCCAGAATGAGGTTTCAAAGGGATCCATTTTCGCTTAGTAACCTGCACGAGCCACTCGAGTCCAGAGCAGTTGGCCTCAAAAAGGTGTCTTTGGTGTAAATTCAGGCAGCATGCTATGTCCTTGGGGCCCACACTGGGCAGGGCCTGTGTCTGTAAGGGCACAGAGTTGCTTTCCAGTCTTTGAGGGATTGCAATTCAAAATGCAGAAAGCCACAAAATCTGCTCCAGAGAGCCCTGTGGTCCCAAGAATGGTGCATGTATTACTCTCTGCTCCTTTCCAGGAAGCACAAGTAGGCCCTGGTTGATGAGTCCAGGTCCTGCAGCCCTAGGATCAGGGGCTCTTTGTCAGTGCAGCAAGTTCAACAACCCCTGAGTTCCTGCAAGCCTGGAAGGCCAATGCTCTTTCCCCACCTCAAGCACCTGTAACCCTGGACCTTGGGCTGCTCTGTACAACACAAGACAGGGCAACCTCTACATCATTCCAAAACTCTACCCCAGACAGAGTTGAGATGGATAGGTATACACACCCCTGTTTCCCAGTGACTGGGGCCTTGGGCCTGGGCTCTGGTATCAGGAAGGGGCAGTTGGAGGTCTGGGGGGACAGATAGGCTGAGTGAGGATGAGGTGGGGCACAAGGGGCAAACTTCTAACCAAAAGAAGAAAGAGTCCCTCTTCCTTTCTGGCCTGGCCTCCCCAAGTTGATTCCTGATGATGCTTTTGGTGGCCCAAATCTCATGGGGAGGCTCTGTGGGCTGTGAGTGTTTCTGCTGTTGGCTGTCACCATTGGGCATACACCTGGGTTCTGGTTACAGTGCCTGCCCTCAGGCACCTGATTTGCATATTTTGAACCCCAGGAGCAGTTTTCCAGGCCTTCCCTGCACGGGTATGTTGTGGCACATGGGACATCCTTCCAGCCCGGATACAGGCAGTGTCTTCAGGCTCTTCAAGGCAAGCCCAAGCTCAGTGCACACCTACACACCCACATATAGAGCCATATGTCCACTGTCCTCTCTGTCCTCCTGATAGATGATTCACCTTTCCCATCCTGATGACAGCCAGGATCCAGGCTTCGTTTGCCGGGGATGGTCTCAGGGAACCAGGATAGGGTTAGGTCTGCCCACTCACAATTGCCTGGTGCTTTTATCAAGGGGTTCACTTTCACTGGGTTGCTCTGTAGATGGGCAAGGTCAGGTCAGTCACCAGATGGAACTTGACCCATGTAACCACCCTGGCTCAGCAGCTGCCTCCTCCTAGTCCACTGTCTCTTCAAGATCCCCAGTGGAGCTATCTTGGAACTCATGGCCAGCCAGGGTCTCAGACATGTGGATTTCCAGCAGCTGCTTCCAATGTGTTCCTGCTAGGATCCCAGGGCCTCTTGGGGACACTATAGCCACTCTTGGCACCTGCACGCAGCCTCTCCAGCTGTCCAGAATCAAGGGTTCTGCCTTTGCTCTGGATCAGGTCCTGCCTGTTTAGGGCCAGTATCAAGTCCCTTGGGCCCCTCCCACTGACCCTGGGGGTCCTCTGTAGTCTGAATATTATCAGGAAAGGATAAATACACACTGGCCCAGTTAAGGAACCAGAAGGACATAGGGAAGGTAGTGGTCCACACCACCTGATCTCTGGGAGCCCCTAGTAGGCACAACTCAGACTGGTGCCCTCTGACTCATGTTAACCCCCACCATTCTTGGGGCCCTGATTGGTCCCTGCCTGCCATCCACCTGACATGTGCCTGAGAATCTGATCCCTCTGTTGATGTCTGTAGCCCTCATCTCATTTCTGTCTGTGCCCTCTGCCTGCCTGTTCCTGTGGGGTGTGGCAAGGCTACTCCCAGTCACCTGCTGCTTGTCCCCTCTGCTCTATTCCCAGCCTTCCCTCTTGGCCTGAGCCAGCCCACTAGAAGCCTGAGGGACTGCTGTCCCATTTCTGGTGGGATATAAATGCTGTGACCCCACTGCTGGGAGGAGCGCCAACTGATGGTACTGTTCCTCTTCCCTCATGGGGGCAGGTGGGAATCTGAACAGAGGGGGTTCTGGGCTGTCAGGCTGACTAAGAAAGAGTGGTCAGCTGGGTCCTCCCCTGAGTCCAGCCTCAGCTTGCAAGTTCAAAGCCATCTGCTTCCAGCTAAAGGCAGCCAGCCCATGGTTCCCTCCTTGGTCTTAGGAGAGTGGGAGGCCAGACTATGGAGGCTTGTGACCATAACCTGCCTGCCCTTGACTTCTGGTTCCTGTTGGCCAACAGGGCCCAGAGCATGGGGATCTGTTGGGGCTGAGCCACTCTCCACCTCCCTCTAGGCTATGTGGTTTAGCTGAGACACACACATGCAGAGTCCGCTGAGGTGGCCATACCCATGCACCATGCTTGCCTCCTTCTAGTATCCTCTGGGACCTTCTGGATTTCCTAAGTGTGGCTGGATCAGTCATGAATAGTGGATATAACCTGTGGATCCCATATGCCTGGGCCCTGGCCAGGATGGGCTCCCATCTCTTTCTCATGTCTCCCTGGCCAGGTACCTTCCAGCTCACTACCTGAAGCCTCTCATCAGGGTGTCCTCAGAAGCCTGTCCAATGCCCCAGTCAGACATCTTCTAGTCTCTCTGTAGCCCTAGGAGTCTCAGCTGCCCGTGATGTGGAGACAAGGAGACAGGGCCTCCTGCTTAACCCAACTTAACCTTGGGGGCGGCCCCCCAGCAAGTCCTGCCAGCTCCCCCGTCCCACTTGGGAGAGAATGTGAGAGTGAGCCTGTCTCCTATCAGCTGAGCTGGTGCCAGGTCCTGGTAGGAGACTCTGGATGATTGTGGGTAGGAGTGGGAGTGGACGCTGGGTGCAGAATCATGGGTGTGTGGAGGGCAGCTGTCCCCCATCCACCTTCATTGGTGTTGTACCCCTGTGGATTTACCTCTGCTGCCTCCAGTCCCATTCTGGAGTGTTGGGGCTCCCTCCCCATCCTGGCCATTGAACAGTAATACCAAAGGGGAAGAGGCCAAGGGCAGGACCTCATCTAGTTGTATCTTGCATCTCCCTTGTAGTGTCTTCTAGGACCAGTCACCCTCAGCCCAGCCTTGAATGCACAAAGTGAGAATACACATGCACTCAACACTCCCCAGCTTTGCCTACCCCTACTGAATGCCAGTGATGTGGGTTCAGAATCTGCCAGATTTCTGGGATTGAGAATTTTTGCTCAGCAGTCTACTCCTGTCTGTGGTGTTCCTGAGTGCCTGGCCTTTGACCAAGTACTCTGGAGTCATCCCTGACAGGGTTCCAGCATTGGTCATGGCCAATAGTCCAAGTGCCAGAAACTGAGAGGAGCTAACCTACAGGGCCTAGACAGCCTGACTTCCTGCCACTTGCCTACAGGTGAGTGAAGAACTGGGCCTCCAAGGTTTGCCTGGGACTAGGTCAGTTTCAAGGTGCTAGCCAAGCCATCTGCAGGTTTCTCTGGGAGCTAAGACTTTGGACATTACTCTTTGAGGTGCAGGAGACAACTGAGCTATACCCACATACTGGGGGTGTGGAAAGGGGATATAGAGCAAGAGACTAGAGAACCCCACTGCACTTGTGGCAAGGAGGAGCTATTGGGAGTCCCACCTGAATATGGAGGTCAGGACCATCAAAGATGCCTAGGACCACAGCACTGCTTCCTTCCCTAAGAGTGGGCATTCAATGCAACTGTCTTTTGCCACCCTTTCACTGAGGGACAGACTCACAACCTGTTAGGGAAGGGGATCTTATAATAGTCTTTTTTTATTATTTGTATTTTATGTGTATGTGTATTGTCTGCTTGTAAGTACACCCATGTCGTGCAATGCTAACAGAGGTTAGAAGAAAGCATCGGATCCCCTATAACTGGAGTTACAGATGCTTGCTAGCCTCCATGTGGGTACTGGGAAGTGAACCCAGGTCTTCTGCAAGAACAGCCAGTGCCCTTAACAGCTGAGCCATCTCTCCAGTTCCATGCTGTTGCTGGGTTTTTTTTTTTTTGTTTTTTGAGACATGGTCTCCCTGTAGCCCCAGCTGTCCTGGAACTCACTATGTACACCAGGCTGGCCTTGAACTCAGAGAGCCAAGGTTTGTTTTCTTTTTAAGACAGGGTCTCCCTGTAACCCCAGCTGGCCTGGAAGTATGTAGATTAGGCCGGCCTCTATGTCACAGGGGTCTGCCTACCTCTGCCGAGAGTGCTGGAATTAAAGGGATGTGCCATCACGCCTGGCTAATAGTCCCTTATTTAAAGGGTTAGTGGCATGTTCAGTGCCTAAGAGATGACTAGGGCCTGATACAATTTCAAAGACCGTTTACCTCATCATCACCACCTGGGATCGTCTCCTAGCCAGTAATGGGCCCTCTTAGCATTTTGCCTCCTGCAGCCTGTCCTAGACTCTGTTCTGGGTACACCATACATCCCTCTCTCTTTAGAGAGGAAGCAAGTACAGACAGGGCTATGTGGAGATCTCACAGACTATGCTGGGCCTGTGCTTTGGTGCTGTCAGTGCCCTTGCCAGTTTGGCCTTCATCTCTCCTCCTATGAAAGCTAAGACACTCACAGGACAATGGAAGCAAAACTTTATTCCTCTTGGCTCAGAAACAGAACTAGCAGGTGGTTGTGCATAGGACCCCCACCTCCCAGAGCCAAAGAGGAGAGGCGCTGCCACCAAATGGCTCCCTCTGCCCAGGTGAAAGCTGAGAGGAGGCAGGTGAGCACAGCACAGGGCAGGGGCGACTGCAGTGATAAGGTGGACAGGGCACGCCGGGGTAGGGGACAGCGGTCCAAGGCTAAGGATAGAATGGGGCTGCTTGGAGAGTGGGGAAGCTGTGGGGATTTTTGCCATAGGAGCTTCTGGCTGGCACAGGTGCCAGGCTCAGGGCACCATGATGCGGTATGGGCTGCCTGGGATGTGCTCATCACCCCACTTGACCACCAGCGTGTACTCCCCCTTGTCCTTGAGCAGGTAGGAGACACTGTAAAGCCGGCTGCCCATGTGTTTGACCAGGATCTCCTCGCAGGGCGTCCTGGGGCCATGTACTCCAACCAGCAGCATGTTGTTTCCTAAAGTAGGAAGGGGCCTCAGTTGTAGGTCTCAGCCCCTTCCTTCAGCTGTGACTGTTCTGAACCCTTTTCTACATTCCACATTCCACCCCTTCCCTGTTTGGAATAACCCTTCCCAGTGAGCTTCTAGCACCCTCTCCCTCCCCATGCCACCTGAGGGAAACTCCAGCTTCTCCAGAACATTTTCTTGAGGGGCAGAGAACACAGGGAGGCCTAGATGGGTGGTGGTTTTAAAAGTGACAGCCATACCCCTAAAGGTGGTTCCTGTACCTTCTACATACTGACCATCCCATTATTTCTGGCCTTGTCCTTACAGAAGCCAGAAGTGTGGCTACTCACCTGCTTTGCTGCAGTCTACTGTGAAGCTGCTTTTCTGGCCTAAGTAGGCCTTGCTCAGCCCCAGGCCCTTGGCCACCACCTTGCTGGCATCAGCAGGACCTGGGCCTGGGGTTGCATGCTGAGGAATACTAGTAGCTTTAGTCAGAGAATCCACAAACACAGAAGAGGTCTCATGGAGGCTGTGGTTGCTTACAAGACGGGGGCCTGCAGGGCAGATTGGGTGGAGCTGAGAAATGGCTGGAGTACGAGGCATTGGGTGGGCACCAGCAGCCAGGGCTTAAGCTCACCTGTGACCTTGGCCTTGAAGGGGCTTCCCCCAATATGGTAGGGGCCACCATACTTGATGGAGATGAGGTAGCTGCCAGGTGCCATTGGGGTATAGGTGACACGGTAGCCCTCAGGGCACTCTTGGCAATCCATCTTCACTTTGGATGGGCCATCGATGGTCACCGAAAGGGCACCAGCTCCCGCATTGCTTGTATTCACGATAAACTCGGCTGGGCTCCCTGGGAGCACAGAAGGTCAGGGAGAGCCTACCTGACTGGCTTCCCTGTCTTTAGCCACCCAGCACAACCTTGTCACTTCCACATGCCTTTGTCACCGAGAGCTTGGAAGTAGAGCCCCAGCAGCTGCATCCATACTTGAAGCTATACCTGTGGACCTACCTGTGACACCACCTTCCAGGCCTGCTCCATAGGCAGATACCAAGCCTGGGTCCCCTCCATGCCCAGGCTCCCCAACTCGGATCTTGAAGGGGCTTCCAGGGATGTGAGTACCATTGAACTTGACATCAATCAAGTAGATGCCATTCTCCCGTGGGATGAAGCGAACGGCATACTTATCTAAGGAGTAGAAGGACATGTTGTGGGCCTGCGGTACCTTTCTTTAACTAGAAGATGTCATCTGCAAGGAACCTTAGTACTAGCAATCCTCTGTCATTCCCCTTGCCCCTAACAGTAGCTCAGCTGCTCCATGCGGACCCCTCAGCTTCCTGCAGGGTTGTGCTGGGCACCTGAAGCTTTAGATACTCAAGCAGTCTACTGGTGAGGCTCCTTTGAACTGACACTTTTATAAGCAAAATGCCCACTTTGCCTGCTTCCTTAGACAGTTTACTGTGAATGCCATGTTGCTTACAAATTAGCAGGTTCAGCGATGGGGAAGAACTTGGGGTCATACAGCTGGGAGAGGGCAGGACTAGGCTGTGAAACTAGCAGAACTAAGCTACACCTCTGGCCACAGAGCTAGACTTTGTATCTCTCTCTGTAGACTGTGGTACTGCCTGCAGGTTTTCTTCCTGGTAACCATACTGGAGAGTCACATCCTCACAGGTGCCTAGCAGTTGGGGAAGGATTTCTTGGCCGAGGAGCCCAATCTTGGTTGCTTACAGAACCTGTATTTTCTTTTTTCCTTTTTGTGCACTCAGCCTGCTTCTAGTCAGCTGGGGCAGGTGGCTGGATGGCTAAACTGGGATAGGGCCTCACCTTGGTCAATCTCTGTAACATAGCACTCCTCCAGGGCTCCCGAGGGGCTGTGCACCTTGGCATCAATCGCCCCCTTGGCCCCATTCAGGCTGACTGCAAAAGAGGCTGGCTGGTTGACCTTTAGCCCTGACTCCTGGAAGCACAGCAGATGTGGTTAGACAGGATGGCCAGGGCCAGGGCAAATGGGAGAGCAGGTCCCTAGAAGCAGGAGACCCACAGGATCACACTTACCCATCTGGTGTCCAACTTGGTTTAAAGAGGGAGAGCCATTGACTTGTGAGAGCAGCAAGCCACAGGCATACTCCAAATCCCCTACCCCCCAGACCTGTGCTCTGCAATCACACACCCAGGCAGCAGAAAGAGAGGATGGCCCTAGCCTGTGGGCAGCACCCAGCCCTAGTAGGCTGTCCCTCTTTAAACCTCAGCCCTGGTGCTCAATGGGCACAGGCTTCTGTTCAAAGCCTTTAGACCTGAGACACGAGAAAAACTCCACACGGTAGGCAGGGCACTTCCTACCAACCCCAAGCGTGGGCTGTACCCGGCCAGAGCAGAGGCCTGGCACTCAGAGCTCTTTCTGGGTAGGTCACTCAGCACAGGGCCAAGGCCTGCTCGTCATGGCAGCTCTGGTCTGGCCGGGCCAAGGAGCCCCAGGTGGGCAGTTTCTCTCAGTGCCTCACCTGAAGACTAGAAACAGTAAGGCGGCGGGCGTCACCAGACGGAGAAGCCACAGGCACCACGAAGGGGCTGTCAGGGATGTGCTCCTCGTTGAACTTGACTGAGACCTCATAGTCACCTGGATAAGGAGAGAACATAAGGCTGTGCTGGGGGTGCCATATATCGCAAGGGTGGAAGACAGGAGCCAAGCGAGGGCTGTCTATATAGGCCCTGGGGCCAACACACCCACACTCAAGCTCTAACTCCCCACCCCAGTCATTTCTGTTCCCAGTACCTGGCTCCTGGACCACATAAGCCACACCACAGGAGCCATCCTTGCGGTCCTCAAAGGAGATCTCAGCCTTGCTAGGGCCCTCAACAGCAATGGCCAGACCTCCAGCACCAGCTTCCCTGGTCCAAATGCTGAATTCAGCTGTGGGAAAGAAGTATTGTCTTCATGAGGGCTGGTCCCTGGCCTCAGCCAACCTCCAAGCAAAGCCAAGACAGGGCTGCTGACTGATTCTCCAAATACCCTCTCCAAGATCCACCCAGGAGAGCAAGAACTAGACAACCACACCTACCTGGCACTCCAGCTTCAGCTCTCTCCAGGCCAGGGCCTCCAGCACGGACCTTGTGGGCACCCCCTTCTCCCAGAGGCCCCACAGTGAACTGGAAGGGACTCCCAGGCACATGCTGGCCCTTGTACTTGACGCTGACTGTATGCATTCCCATCTCAGCAGGCACAAATCGGATACAGTAGGTATGGTTCTCTCCTTCTACAATCTCTGCCTCATGAGTCTTGCCTGATGGGCTGGTTACCTGGGCTGTCATGTCTTGGATGCTAATTTCTACAAGCAGGAAAAATTTGATAAACAGGGTCCTTCTTGTCTTTACTTGTGCTTAGGGTTACCCTGGGTACCCTCCTGAGCCCCTACCAGGAATCTTCAGGCTGAGGTCACAATGACTGCCAACATTGGCCACTGAAGGGGCACGTCGCCTGCGTGTGATGCTCTCTTTCACTCGGCCCTCACCGGTCACCTTCACAGAGAAGGGACTGCCTATAGGAAAAAAGTACAGTCCATACTGGGCACAGGTTACAGGTTGTAGATAGGCTCTGGTATATGTCCAGGAGGGCTGCCACACTCACCAGGCACATGCTGGTCAGCAAACTTGATGTTTATGATGTAGTTTCCGGGCTCTGTGGGGCAGTAGGTGACCCTGCATGTGCCATCTTCCAGGTCCTCTGTGTTAATGTCTACCTTGCTAGGGCCCTCAATAGACAGGCTGAGCCCACCATAGCCTGGGGGATAGACAACTGTAAGCCAGGATGCCAAGTGCAACTGTATTACCCAAGCTGGCAGGCCACCATTGCCTACCTGCATCTCGAGTGTCAATAATAAACTCTGCAGGCTCAAATGTGTGCCCTTCATGGAGGCCTTGGCCCGAGACCCGCACGCGGCTAGCATCACCAATCTCCGACTGGCTGATCACCACTGGGATGGGACTGCTTGCTACATGCTGGCCATTCTTCTTCACATGCACCAGGTGCTCCCCTGTCTCCTTGGGCACGAAGGAAATCCCTGGGTACAGGGAAGGGCCATCAACAGGGGAAGGTGTAAGCCCTTGGCCTCCCTCCTTTCTTTTCTTTTTTGGGAGATAGGATCTCATGTAGGTGCCAGGCTGGCCTTGAACTCACTATGTAGAAATGATTTAACCTTGATCCCCTGATTCTCCTGCCCCCACCTCCCAAGTGCTGGATTATAGGCATACACTACCAAACCTGGCTCTCCCTCCTTCCCAGAAACTCTTGTCCTCTCTTGACTTCTTACCCACATGGCCATTGCGCAACCGCTTCAGCAGACAGGGCTCCTCTCGTCCTGAGGGTGGTACCACAGTGGCTGTGAGCAAACTGAGGTCTGTTTCTGAGATGTTGATGGGGATATCAGCAGCAGAACCCACCTTTAGGTGGGACATACGCATGGAATCATCACCTGGTAGGGGGAGGGGCAGACTATCCATCACTGTTCTTCCAGCCCCAGGAGACCATGCCCACCCTGCCACCTGTTCCCGCCACTGCCCCTGGTGCTCGCTACCTGTGACCCTGGCAGTAAAGGGGCTGCCTGGAATGTGCTGCTCATTGTACTTGACGAGGATGCTATAGTCACCAGGCAGTACAGGCAGATAGGAGACACTGCACGTCCCATCCTGGTTGTCAGTACAGCTGATTTCTGCTTTGGATGGACCCTCAATGGCCAATGACAAGCCCCCTGAAAAACAACATGGGTAAGAGTGGAAAGTGGGCCCAGGGACACACTGCTGAGCCTTCATGCTAAGTTGACTTGGCCCAGCAGACACAGGAAGGCAGGGGCAGGGAGTCCCATTCAGGATTATCTCCCACCCACATCCAGCAAAAGGAGGACAACTTGGGTAGGTTAACCCAGAGCTTCTCCTCACCCTCTCCTGCATCCTTGGTGTTGACAGTGAAGGTGGCAGGCTTGTTGACCACTCCGTGTGTGAGGCCAGGGCCATAGGCAGTGACGTGGCCACAGTTGACATAATCCACATAGAACTGCAGAGGGCTTCCTGAGACAGGAATAAGGGCCACATGGAACACCCATCTTGTGTTCTACTACTCTGTTCTTTTCATTTTTCTTTTTGAGACAGTATCTGCTGTATCCCAAGCTGGCTTTGAACTCAGTGTAGTAGTTGAAGATGACTTTGAACTCCTGATGTTCCTGCCTCCACCTCCTAAGTGCTAGGATTACAGGTATTTGCCACCATACCTAGTTTACAGTGCTGGGGACTGAACCCAGGACTTACACATAGTAGCAAAGCATGCTACCAACTGACCTATATAGCCCCAGGCCCCAGTCCCCACCCTATTCTATGACATAGTGGCAACAGGGGCCTGGTGTGGGGTAGCCAGAGGCAGTGGGCCCACCTGGTATGTGCATGTTGTCATATCGGATGTCCATTTCATGCAGGCCAGCCTCACTGGGTGAGTACCGCACAGTAACAGTGCCATCCTTGTTGTCAGTGATGGAGGGCTGGGCTACCTTGCCTGAAGGCATTCGAACTTCCCCTACAGGACAGTGGATCTGAAGTTAGGGCAGACAATTCACACCCTGGCTTCCTTGGTTTCCAAGTTCCTTCCCAGCCCTCACTCACCAGTGATCTCGCCTTTCTTGATGGTGAAGGGGATGACAAGATCAAAGGGCCTCAGGCTGGTCATATCCAGCCCATTAACACCAACCATGGGTCTCTCTGGGACCTGCAATGGAGACATAAGAATCAGGTGACGGGCTGAAAGAATCTGACGTCTCTCTGTACATACGGTTAGAACAGGACTATTATGAGACACCCAGATGGCCAGCTCCAAGTATCCCTATGGGCTAGTCGAGCTGGGAGATGGACCAGCTCTTACCCAGGTTTGCTGGCCACCCTGGGGATAGGTATACTGTGGAGTGAGCTGCTGAGGTCGTAGTGGGGTCTGCACTGTGGGTTGGTCTCCAGCCAAAGCCTGCACAGGGCAAAATGAGAGAGCTGCAGACATTGTCATAGAGGGGCATGGAGGAATAGGCTAGAACTTCTCCCAATCTCCCTGCCCACCCATCTCTGGCCCCTTCTCACTGTAACTTGGAAGGGACTGTTGGGCACATGCTCTCCACCAAAGCGCACACAGATGACGTATTTGCCCGGCTGGGGTGCTGTGTAGAAGATGTCAAAGGTGCCGTCCTCATTCTCCACCACATCCACATCTACCTCTGAGCCATCAGGTGTGCATACAGTGCAAGTCACCTTGCCTTTGCCTGCTGCTTTTGTGTCCACAGTAATCACTGTCTCCTCCCCAATCTGGATGGTGGGGCCGATGCCAGCACCTAGGAGGGCAGGGCGGGTCCCCAGAGGGGGGCCAACAGGTGAGCCTGGCATTCAGCCTCCCATTACCTGCTGTGCATCCAGGCCTCTTATTGCCACCACCAAGCACAGCCAGTCCCCCATCCCACCCACACCCCAAAAGCTAGGATGGTGAGTGGTTTCTCAGAAGGCAGGAAGAATTCTCCTGACCACCTCAAGCCCCCATATGAGAGAGGCCCAACAGGTACCTGGGAGGAAAAGTAAGGGACCATCCCATCCCAGCACAAGCATCTACTGCCACCTCCTCTGCCAACTCAGCTTCAGCTGGTACCATGGCCCATGCTGACAAATATCAGCACTCTGGCTAGGCCCGTGGCTGCCTGCATTCCTGTAGCCTAGCCCTGGGCCCCGGTGCTGTGTGTGGACGCAGTGAGGCAGAGTCCTAGTCCTGCTGCAGTGTGGGGCGATGTGACACTTGCCACCCTACCCTGCCAGGCCTGAAGGTGAAACTGGAGTTTCCTGACAACTGAGAACGCTTGCTCAACCAGAGGCTTGCAGTGAGAGACAGCCCGGCATAGCCTGGCACAGGCAAGAGCAGGGAGCAGAGAGGCAGCAGGGTTAGCACCCGTGCAGTGCAGCACAGCAGGTTTGGCAGAGCAGTGGCAGCACCCAAGGGACAGGGGACAGGAGGCCCAAGCCACAGCCACCACTGCTGGGTTGGCAAGGGTAGAGCATCTGAGCAGCCTCTAGGGCCCCATAGTGCCCGAGGAAAGGGAAAGGACAGTGACGTTATGATCTGGGGCTCAGCCGTGGAGGCTTGGGAGCTGTGGGCTGTGTGAGACCTGGCAGCAAGAGCAGCCCTACAACCTGGCCTCCCCCCGCCAGGAAAGCAACCGGGAATACCACACCTACTTGGAGACCAAGTTCAAGGGGCCCCCTTGCCAGCCTGCCACCAAGGCCCCCAACTGGCCTAGGTCTCACACTGCATAAGGCTCTATGCTGGTCTACCAGCCCAGATAGCATTTCTAACTATAGCCCTGGCTGCTTGCTGCCCATCAGCCCACGGCATACCACTGCTGCATCATGTAGCTAGTGACTTGTGCCCTCTCCTAACAGTTTCCCCAACTCATTTCTCTACCCAACCTCCACCTGATCAGGTCTTGGCCATACCATCCTCAAGGGACATTTGTTGATTGTGCTACTACCTGATGCCCTAAAGCCACTGACCTAGTCCAAGCCAAACTTCTGGCTTGCCTGAAAGTGTCTCCATTCCACAAACAGTGGTCAGGGAGACTGAGGCTATTCCAAGTCCCTGGTTTATCCTGCCCTCCCCTGTTCTGTGTAAACATACCTGTCATCTCAGATCCCATGGCCTATTCTACAAAACAATCTAGCCCCTGCCACAAAACCCCGGCCATCATCTAACCCTGTCGTTGGATGTCTATGCAAGTTGTCATATCTATAGTCCTCAGAGGCCCTCATATCAACATCCCCAGGGTATCCCCTGCTTGAGGAAGACAATCTCTATGTCTGATTAGGGACTATCTAAATAACGTCACTGCTGGGGGAATGGAAGAAGGGAAGGGAGAGAGATGGGTCACAGGATGCACTTTGGGGCTCTGAGGCTGGGCTGGGCCCGCCATGCTGGCCACCCAAGCAATTGACACTGGCGCTACCGCACCACCAGCCAGCCCCACCCATTCATGCACCTCCCCCAGCCCGGGACACAGAGGCCCCTGGGAGGCCGCAATGAAGTCTGTGGATCTGACGAGGGCTAGAGACTCCCACTGAGGTGGGGAGATCCCTTTGACCCCTCAGCCCATGCAGGAGTCCTCATGAGAAGGAAATACCTGCTGCCCATCCCCGGGTACTTCCCTGGGGTGCCAAGATCCCCAGACCCCATAAGTCCCCAGTGGGGTGCCTCTTAGGATACACTTCACCCCAAAGCTCTCAGCTGCAACCCGAGTTCTCAGAAGGGGAAATGAAGGTCCAGAGAGGGGAAGAACCAGAGCACTCATGCTCAGCTCCAGAAACCTCCCTGGGCCCTAACCCTCCAGCCCACGGCCTTGTCTTCACAGCCTCCCCCACTCTGTCCTTGCCTAGAGCTGCAGCTGGAACTATCCTGGGAATGAATTAGCAATTAAGAGGAAAGGAAGCTGCCCCTCTGGGCAGGAGGGGCATTGGGAGTGGACCCAGCAAGCAGCTTACCTAGCCCGTGACCTCCGATTGACACTGAGGTGAGAGGGCAGAGAGCAAGGAGAAAGGTCAGGTGAGTCACTCAAGGGGGCGGCCCCCACTCCCACACGCCGCCCCAAGCAGCGAGCCCTTGCACACAGGCACACCCAAGCCCCGAGCCAAGTGCCACGGTGGCCGCTGGCAGGCTGGCTCACCTGTAACTGTGCACTTGCTGGCATCCCCAGTGGGCACGGCCCGGACACGGTATGGGGAGAAGGGGATCTCATCACCACCATACTTGATGAGGATTGTGTACCGGCCTGTCACATCTGGCACATATGCCACTGTGTATGTGCCATCATGGTTGTCTTGAATGTGTGTCTTCTTGGGCTTGCCTTCAGGATCCTGTGGGAGAAGGCAAAGCATAGGGGAAAGAGGTCGGTTTAAGCTCAGCGAGGCTGGGGCTGCTCAGGCCCTCCTGAAGGGACACCAATCACTGCTGTAACAGAGATAGCTTCTGGGCCCCTCCACCACCATGATCCTGGTGGCTGCCTGCCTATGGCAGGGTCCAAAATGGAAGTCCCCAAACATCCAGCATTCTCTGACGTGGTTGAGAGGCAGGACTGACCACAGAGCTTGATGACCAAACCTCAGTCCTGTACCTGGCCCAGGGGCACCAGGGACTTGCATGGAAGTTCTATGGTTATAACATTATACTTGCCCTATGAGAATATCACAAGGGAGGAACCTGAGGCACTACCAGCTTGGTACCATGCTCATCGGCAATATATGTGTATGTGGGTAAGCTTGTTCCAATTTGGAGGAAATTTCTACACATCCTATGTTACAACCTTAAAACACTAGAAGCGGAGGTCCTGCCCTCACAGTACAGCTCCTAGGCAGACTAGGGACCTGAACTGGCCCTCCTACCTACCCACAGCCCCATACTCTAGCTGCCCAGGCTTGATTCCTCGCCTCTCCTCCCTGTGCCTGGAGCTGCAGTGCAGCCTGGGAAGCCAGCAAGCTCACCGTAATCTGGACAGCTAACAGACCCTCCCCAGCATCCTTGGCATCAATGGTGAACTCCACAGGCAGGCTGGCAGGCACGCCAGTGGTGTTGAGTCCAGGTCCACTGGCCTTCACCTTACTGGCATCATGTGTGGGCAGCACTTTGACCTTGAAGGGGCTGTGGGGTGAGGGTACTGTGAGCCATCAGACAAGTCTCAGCACTTGGCCTATCCCCAATATGCAAGGTGGGCCCGGCTTCTTACCTCCGTGGCACCTCTTCTTCCCCATATAGCACTGAGATGCTATAGGGCCCTTCTCGGCTGGGCACATAGTTGACCGTCTGGGTACCATCAGCATTGTCCACTACATCCACTGGCTCCACCAAGCCTGGTCCCAGTCCCAAGGATAGAACCTCAGCTGGCTCCTTGTGTCCCCACTCCCATCCCACTGGAGAGCAGGACTGGGCCCCAGGCTTAGACCTCATTGTCCTTAACCACCCAATTCCAGGAATGATTCCAAGACTCTACAGTATAAAACATGGCTCTAAGTGCCTCCTTAGACTCTTGCCCACTCTCCTCTCTTGCCACATCTATTCAGTGGCTAAGTTCTGTCCATTCTACCTTCTCCATGCTTTCTGATTGGCTCTGTGGTTACCTGAAGCCCTTTTACCAACTACATACCTGCCCTAGCTTCTACATGCTGACTCTGTCTCCTTTGCCACTGGCCAAAAAGGATGCTGCCTTCCTGACCCCTTGCTCCCAAATATATGAACTCTCACCTTTGGGCCCCTGCACTTTGACCTGCAGCGGGGCAACCCCAGCCTTGCTTGTATCCACCTGGAAGGACTGAGGGAGGTTGGCGCGGACCATGCCTGGGCTTAGGCCAGGTCCAGAACACTTGACCTTAGATGCATCTGTCACATCGTGCACAGGGACCTTGAAGGGACTACCTAGGGATTGGGACAAAGGGATGGTAGCTATGTAAGACACAGTGGGGATTAGTAGCAGTTTTAGGTCTGTCCTGGTCATCATCTCCTCACCTGGCACTTGGTGACCACCATAGGTGACATTAAGGTTGTAGGTGCCAGCCTCATAGGGGATGTATTCTACCGAGCAGCTGCCATCCTTATTATCCATGCAGGACATCTTGGCCTCAGAGGGGCCCTCAACAGCCAGACCCAGGCCACCTGTGCCAGCTCCCCTGGTCCAAAAAGGCAATCTGTCAATACCTGGGATTTCCAGATTCCCAAGTCCATTGGCTGCCCTTGCTTCCCTGGTGGCTCACTTACCTGGTCTCCACTGTGAACTTATTGGGTTTGTTGGTGGTACCACTTTGGATGCCTGGCCCATGGACACGGACCCGGGAGGGGTCACAGCCCTCCGTTACAGGCACCTGGAAGGGACTGCTGGGTACAGGGCTGCCATCATAAGTCACGTCTACAGAGTGCAGTCCTAGAGGCAAGGCCAGGTCAGAAGGAGGTGGACTCCCCAATTCACTCCCTGCCCTGCCTAAGGGAGCCCTAGCGCACACATACCTTCTTCATATGGTGTGTATTCTACTTTGTACGTGCCATCACCACAGTCCTGTACATAGGTCTCTGTCAGGTTGCCCGAGGGGTTGGCCACACGGGCCTTTACGTGTGGTCCTCCAGTCTGTGTGAGAGCCCGGGCATCCACACTGAACTCAGTGGTTGCCTCTCGGAAGACACCTGGAGAGGGCCACAGTGCAGAGGCTGTGGCTCTGGGATCCTTGCTTTCTGTAACTGCCCCCCCCCGACCTATGCATCCCATAGCAGGCCTCCTTACCTTGACCCTCAATCCCAGGCCCGTAGCACTGCACACCCGATGTGTCCACAGCAGGCTCCACCTGCAGCTTGCTGGGGAAGTTGGGCACAGGCTGGCCTCCATACTTGATGGTGACAGTGTAAGCCCCAGGGCACAGAGGAATGTAGGTGATCGTGTGTGTGCCGTCACCATGATCCTGAATGTATACCTCAGCTGGCAGGCCAGCTTCAGAGCAGATCTCAATTGTCAACTCTGCACTGCCTGCGCTTGAGCAGTCCACTTGGAACTGGCCTACCTCACCAGCAGTAGCCCGCTCTAGCCCAGGGCCTGAGCACTTCACCTTGGATGCATCGAAACAAGGAACCACATGGGCCTTGAACGGGGAGCCAGGGATGTGAGTGTCAGCAAAAAGGATGTTGATGTTGTAGTCCCCAGGCTCAGTGGGCACATAGGACACAGAACATGTGCCATCCCCGTTGTCCAGGCACTCAAGCTGTGCTTCGCAGGGGCCTTCCACTGTCAGGCCCAGGCCACCAGTGCCAGCACCCTTGGTATCAATGGTAAAGCGGGCAGGAGAGCCTGCATTGCCTCCCTGTAGCCCTGGTCCAAACGCCTTCACCTAAGAGAAGGAGGTGGTCAGGAGCTGATGTCAGCCCAAACTTCCATCTGCCTCCTTTTGTCCTGGCTTTCCTCCCCAAACAAACAGGGACAAGAAAGGCATAGACTGCCACCCATCAATCATAAAGATGGAAATGACAAAGGATAAGGACAAATATGAAAATTAGGCACCCTCAAAAAGGACAATAGGTCTACCCTTAAGAGCATCCCAAACCCAATTACCTTGCTAGGCTTGGTGGGAGCCACAGCTTCCACAGGAAAAGGGCTGCCAGGCACAGGCACACCATCATAGGTCACCTCCACCTCATAGGGCCCCTCCTCTCGGGGCACAAAGCGTACCAAACTGTTGTCAGCTCCTAGGCCTGGCTCCACCTTACAGGGCACTGCTGCACCTGAGGGGCCCACAATCTTGGATGCCACTTTGCCTTGGCCACCTGCACCCTTTGACTTCACTGTGAACTCTTGGTCTTTGCCAACGTCCACTTCTGTTAACAGATGATGAAAGCAGAGGAGACAAAAATCAACCATCACGCCTTGCTTACGCAGTCCCAGGCAAGACTCAGACCAGGTAAAATGGAGTGGTCCTCAATGGCAATGGCAAATACAGCAATTACTTACTGTCACTGAGGCCAGACACCTTGATCTTGCTGAGGTCCAGGCTTGGAGATACTCCCACTGAAAAGGGGCTCTTGGGGATGGGATCTCCTCCATAAGTGACACTGACACCTACTGGGCCCTGAGATGAGTAGAAAAGGATGGGTTCCCAGCTTACGTAGGTGGGTCAGAAACACTAGCTTTGCTCTTCACCCTCCTCCCAGGTGAGAAATGAAGTCCCTTGCAGCAGCCCACCTAGCCCACCTTACAAGGAGGCCTATGACTACAGAGAAGGGGTGTGGGCGCAGGGGGTACCTACCTGCTGCACAGGAGTATACTTGACAGTGTAGGTGTTATCATGGTGGTCAATGATGTCCACATCTCGCACTGCATCCCCCTTAGTCAGTCCTGAGAACTGGACATCCAACTTGCCTTTGCCAGCGGCTTTGGCATTGACGGTAAAATGGGTGGGTTTACCAAGCTCAACACCTGAAGAGACATAGTGACCACATAGGGGCACTCTACTTCGAGCCCTCACCCTTGATGCCACTAAAGCTCCCATATAACACTCATCCGTACCAGTGCGACTGAGGCCAGGACCCTCAGCTTTCACCTTGCTGGCATCATGGGAAGGCTCCACTTTTACCCGGATGGGGCTGGTGGGTGTGGCCTATAGGTGATGAGAGAAAAAGGGTTGAGGATAGCAGTACCCCAACACCTAGCAGTCTAGGGGCTGGGAGTAGTAACACCTACCTGGTCAGCAAAAAGGACCATGATGGTATAGCTACCAGCCCCACGGGGCGTGTATTTCACAGTGAAGGTATCATTGTCGTTACGGATGATGTCAAAGTCAATGTCAGCCTCAGTGGGACCCACCACTCCGGGGGCACACTTGATACCAATGCTGACATCTCCTGTGGTTGGAGGGGAGAGGAACAGAGTTTGGGACTTTGTGGCGAGAGACAGCCCACCCACCTGCTCTCCCATTCAAAGCCATGCCTTACCCTGGCCAGCCTCTGTGCAATCCACAGTAAAGTAGGTGGGCTCGTGGGCCTTAAGCCCAGTCTTGGACACTCCTGGACCATACACTTTGACCTTGTTTGGGTGGCTGCCAGCTCCTACATTCACCTGTAGTACAAGGGCAAGTGAAAAGGCATGGCAAGCCTGTGGCATGGCAGGTAAGACTCCCTTGACTACTGCTGATAGACAGGCCAAACAGTATAGCTGCCTTGGGACAAATCAGGCAGTTCCTCAAATAGGTAAATGTGACTACATGATGCTGTGATTGCACTCCTAGGTAACTACCCAAGGAAAATGAACCCTAATGTTCCTAGTATGGCTGTTCACAATAGCCCCAAAGTAAAAACACCCTACAGGTTCATCAAATAAATAGACAAGCACAATGTGTTCCATCCACATAACGGGGTATTATTCAGCCATAAAAAAGAAAGACACTGACAGGCTACAATGTGGACGAACCTTCACATGACACTCAGTGAAAGAAAGTCATACATTATATCACTCCATCTATTTGAAACAGAAAAGGAAAATCCATAGAAACAGCAGATCAGTGGCTTCTACAGGCTGGAGGAAGAGGGAGTGGAGAGGATGGAGTTTCTTTGGAGATGATGAAAATGTCCTAAACTTAGACTGTGGTGATAGCTGCCAACACCTAAATATCTAAATACAGCTAAATATACTAAAAAACCATGTAGTCATCAACTGTATATGGGCACATTATACAGTATGTAAGCTTGATCTTGTTAAAACTGCTATTAAACAAAAGGGCTCTGGGAAGAAGGGATAAAGTCCCATAGGCTAGCTTACCCGGAAGGGGCTGTTGGGGATGCTGACACCTCCCCAAGACACCATTGCTGTGTGCTTCACTGGCTTCCTTGGCACATAGGAGCAACTGTAAGTGCCATTGCCATTGTCCTTGACTGTTGCCTCCACGGGGCAGCCCTCATTGTCCTATAAGGTGGGCAGAAATAAGCAGCCTGTTCGTCTCTGCCCAGGCCTTGGGGCCTGCCTGCCCTGCCCTCAACATGGGCAGGCACCCTACCTGGACTTGGACTCGGAGAGGGGCCTTCCCACCATGCTTGGCATCAACTGTGAACTCTGCTGGTTTGTTTACAGCCACACCAGTCTTCTCCAGTCCAGGCCCACGTGCTTTCACCTGGTAAGAGACCACCTCAATCTCAGGAAACTAAATCAAGGTCACCAAAAGCAGATAGGGCAGCAAGAACACAGAATGGCAGGGCATGGTGCTGGGGATATCAGCCAGAGTCTGGCTCAAGACCCCAGCCTAGTTGACAAGATGGGACTGATACCCACCCACAGAAGCCTTCCCAAGCAGAATCGAAAGGCTCAGGTCAGTACTATGTGCCCTTTACCCTATCTGGGTGAAAGTCCTGGGGTGCCTCCCGGATATCAGCCATGAAGGGGCTAAGACGGATGTCCTCGCTGTTGCACAACACATGAACAGCATACTCGCCAGGCTCCTGGGGCCAGTAGCGCACATCACAGGAACCATCACCTTTGTCATCACATTCAATCTTGGCCTGTGATGGACCTTCCACCGAGAACCCTGACAAGAGCCATTAGTCCCATTGGTGCCCTGGAGCCTCAGGGTAGCCTGCTACCCTCTTCTTCAGGTATGCCTATTAAAGACCCCAACTTACCCAGGGTGCCCACATCATCACCAATGGCCTCTACCACGAAGTCTGCTGACTTGCCAACAACGCCGCCCTCTAGCCCAGGGCCCCAGGCCCGCACCTTCTGATTGCCACACTCAGTGCCCACTTTCACCTCGAAGGGACTGCAAGTGAAAGTGCCACACTGGTGAGCACCGAGAAGCACCGCCCTGTATGGGAGCCACCCTGTGCCCAGCAGCTGTGAACCAGACAGGAAGATGCCACTGGCCCTGCACCACACAGTATGCTGGGAAGATTCAGGGCACAGTGAGCAGTGGAAGGAACTCACCTGCGGCCAATGTTCTGACCTCCCCATGTGATGGTGACTGTGTATGTGCCAGGGACTGTGGGATAATACTCAAAACCATACACGCCATCCCCCAGGTCCTTCTGCTTTACACGTTCCTCGCCCTCTGTAGAGACAAGCAAGAACTCAGGTCTGCCCAGCCATGACCCTGAGGCCCATCACCTGCCACAACCCCCATACCAACTTACTGGGGCCCTTTACAGTGACCTTTAGCTCCCCGCTGCCAGCACCCTTTGTGTACACCTTGAAGTCAGCTGTCTCCTTCACCCGTACACCCTTAGGTTGGAGACCTCGGCCAACAGCCCGGCAGGCAGCTGGGTTACAGGCTGTGGGCAGAGAGTCTAGCTGAGCTACTGGGAGCTAGGGCTGGGTGTCCCTTCCCCTGCCACCCACAGGGATAGACCACTGGGATTGGATAGTCCCTCAGGAGGTTGGCCCAACAGGCTGGCAAGGCACATGCAAGAAAGAACTGAAATGGGCCATGACCCTAAAACCTGCATCCCAAGCAGGGACAGGGCAGGCTTTCTCCCACTTGCTTGACACCAGCCCTAATACCTCTACCCAGCCCTCCCCACCAAGAGGAAGATGGATCCAAGTACCGTTGACCCTGTAGGTAGAGCAGAGAGCAGCAGGTTTCTAAACAGCTGGAGCGAGCTCTTCCGAAGGTAAAAGCATGGAGAAGAGAGACGGAGAGGGACGAGGAAAGAAGAAGCAAGAAGGGCCCCAGCATGGGGAAGGAAAGATAGTGCTTGCCCAGACAGTGGAAGCTCATAGACCAGGGCTCCCAGGCAGGGGCTGGAGTGGGATGGTCCCAACAGCCTCCCCCTCCCACACGAAGCCCAGGCCACAGCATCATAGTAGGAGGGCATCCAGGGCCAGGCGTACCTTGGCCAACAGTGACAGTGTAGGGGCTGCGAGGGATGGGAACACCAGCAAAGGTGACATGCACGGTGTGGATGCCCTCCATGGTGGGCTGGTAGCTACAGCGATAGGTGCTGTCGCCTCGGGCCTCCAGCTGAGGCTCCACTGTGCCTTTCTGTCCTGTAGGGTCCTGGATGACAACTTCCACCTCGCCCGTGCCAGCTCCTGTCCCAAGGCACAAACTCAGCTCTGGGACTCTAGCACAGCTCTCTCTAATGGCTGGCTGTGCCTCATCAGCCTCCCCTCACCTGCAGTGAAGATCTCAAAGTAGGTGGTCTTGTTGGCGATGTTGCCACTGGGCTCCAGGCCAGGGCCCTGAGCAGTCACTTTGCTGGCATCACCCTGTGACTTGTCCACATACACTTCAAAAGGGCTCTTGGCAATGTGCTGACCAGCAAAGAGCACAGTCACCTATTCCCAGGAGGGGCAGACCAGGAGAGTGAGGTCTGGGGCCCTCCACCAACTACCCATGGCCACCAGCCTCCCTTATCAGCTAAGGGCTCACCTTATGAGTCCCTGTCACTTCAGGGACATACCAGACAGAGAAGGTACGGTTCTTGTCATTATTGGCAGACACTTTTGCCTATGGTGAAAAAGGGCCCACGAGCCTTTGTTAAGAGCAGCCCCTCCGAAAGGGGACTCAGCAGGATCCTGTCCTACCAATGGATAGTCCTACCTCTTCCTGGTGTCCAGCTGGGTCCTCCACATACACTAGCACCTCTCCCTGGCCAGCACTTCGGGTCTCCACGGTGAACTCTGCCCGCTTCTTCACCATATTGCCTGTGGGCTCGATGCCTGTCAGGAGAGGGTGAAGAAGCCATGGACCAGCTGGTAAGGCCAGCATAGCCTCCCCCTTCTAAACCCTGGTTCCCAGATACTAAAGCATAGCAGGAACACAGGCGTAACACCCCTATCCTTCTGCGAGCTCAGTGCCCCTCCTTTACCTAGCCAGGCACAATCCAAACCAGGCAAGTTTATTCCATATAGATCCCAGCATGCTGAGCCTGGCCTCAGAACCCAGCTGTATTCTTGCCACCAGGACAGGCCCATGCCCGTTCTCTAGAACAGCCTGGTTTCCCAATCACTTGCACCTACACGATCCCAACTGTTTCATCTCCAATTATAGAAAAGCTGCATGCTGGGTCCTCCCTCCCTGAGGAAGCTTCCCATAGGCCAGTGGGACTTAAGGACCTCACTAATACTCCCTTGTCAAGACACCAGGTCTGACTGGTCCTGATCCTAGTCTCCCTCAAGAATGGCATTTCATTTCCCAGCTGCCACAACCCAAGCCCCCTTAGGACCCAAGTTGAGAGAAAATACTGTCCTACGTCATAGAACCCCCAGAAGCACGCCTGTCCAAGCCCTCTTACCTGGCCCATAGGCTCGGGCTTTCTTTGGATTCAGTTTGGGCCGAAGGGGAGCCCCTGGCTTCAGCTTAGCTTTGGGGAACTGGGACAGGTAGGTCATGACAGAATGCTCATCCACATTGGGGTCCACAATTTCCTCAGGGGTGATCACCTGTCAGAGACAGAAGACAGGAACCATTAGACCTCTCCTCACCATGACCTATCACCCCCAGTTGCAGGTGAGCCAGTCAGGGGGCATACCTGAGGGATGCCAAGCCAATCATCAGCCTGCTGCATGGCTTCCCGTGCATTGTTCACAGGCTTGCTGGCATCCCACGAGTCCCAGTCAGGACACAGGCCTATGACACAGGAAAAGTGGTAATGTCAGTCTGGGGACTATAAGACCACCTCCTAGGTCAACCAGACAGCCTCAGCCCAAGGTCTCCCACCTCCATGCCCCTTACCTGGGGCACAACTATCAACAAGAGCACCTAGGGCCCGGCCACTCTGCCAGTCCCGACTGAAATTGGTAATGGGGAGCTGTGGCAGCTTGTTCTGGATCCAGCCTAGGAGCCTCTGCTTGGGTGTTTGCTTCTTGGCCTCCTCATCCTCCTCCTCATCCCACATAGGCATGGAGATGGAGTAGTGTAGGATCAGGGTCCAGATAAGGCCCAGGATCAGCTTCAGGTTCCCATCTACGATGGCCTTGCTGTCTGTAGGAAGAGAGGTGGCAGCACTGGGCAATCAAGGATTCTCCCACCCAAGGCTATGGGGGAGAGCCCTAGTTGGGTGGCACAGCAAGCCAGTCAAGAGAGAAAGGCCTTGTCCAGCTAGGGGTGGTATATGGGCCTGGCACCCTCTGCCCAGAGCTCCTAAAGGGACACAAAGGGATGTCTGGCAGTAAAGGAGACTTTTGTGGCAGAAGGGAAGACATTTCAGAGACACTTGATGACAATATAATGCAATAACAGGGACAGTGGCAGAAGGATAACAGAAGAGTGAGTGGGACAAATGTTTTGCAGCTGCTGAGGTCAGGATCTGCACCCCACTTCCAGGAATCTCTGGGAACTGGGAAAAAGTAGCCCAGCCCTGAGTGGTCTAGAAGCAGGGCCTCGGACCTTAAGCTGGATTGGGGCCAAGGAAGAGGAAGGCTGGGTTGGTAAAGAATTGTTAGGAAATATAACTGTTGCTCCAGGGTGGGGGATAAAACAGGGGAAGTAGAGGTGTTGGCAAGCAAGTATCCTGGGGTGAAGCCCCATCCCTCACCACTTCCTTGTCCTCCCTCCAGTCAAACTAGGAGTGGAGTCAGGAGGTGGCACAAAGAGGGCTGGCTTGGGGAGGGGCCAGGGGTCAAAGGAACTACAGTTAGTCCTGACTCACTGAGGCCTGTAGGGAACTGCTAGGGTGACAAGAGTCCCCATTGCCCAGCTGGAGGAAGAGGAAGAGTAGGGTGGGGCTGGGTAATCTTGCCTCTGGTACCCAGGGTCACTTGGGAGCTTTAGCTGCAGAGGCCTTGGGTGGGGTGCTCAAGCCCCACTGCTCCAGTGACCCTACTCTGCTGCCACAGTACACAGCCTACTTGCCACCTAGCGGGTTAGGTCTCAAGCAGCCACCAGGCCTACCACAAGGGAAGTGGTTAGGGCGGACACCCTGCCCACCCATCACCATGGCAACCCCTCAGCCCCACCCAAGGCCACTTCTACTCTTAACCTCCTCAAGGGTGGGTGGCTTAGGGTTGGTCTGGTTCTCTAAGAGCTCATCTTCTGAAATCCTGCAGGCCTGCTCTGTAATCAGTGAATGCTTATCTAGTGAGTCAATGGGGGAGGGTCATAACTAGAAAGACACCACTGGAAGGTCATCTAGGGCAGGTGGCTCCAAGTCTAGTGGGTAGCACCTAGAGGACCCGCTGAACCCCTCAAGACTGAGTTTCCTCATTTCCAAACAGGTTGGCTCTGGCCCATCATGGTTGTTTTTCATTGTACCAAAATGGTGGGAAGATGGGGAGGGGAAGTTCAGAAAAGACCAAGGACACAAGGTCCCTACTCCAAGTCACAGGTCTAGCACGGGAGCCCCCAAGGAGACAGAGGTCCTCAGTGACCTCCAGGGAGAGGAACAAGCCAAGGCCACCAACCCTGGCAGATAAGGCAGGGCTCTCTCCCGGGTCCATATTAGGCGTATGTCAGCTGCATCCCCCTCCAAATAGAGGACCAGGGCCCAGGATTGGGAGGCTGCCTGGTTAGACGGCCCCGCCCCATCCCACCCCCTTTCCCCAGCCCCTGAGCCAGCCTGCCCCCTCCCTCCCCTAATCACTGCTGCTTTCCAACATTTTTTTGCCTTATATGGCAAAGCTCTGGGAACTAGGCCTGCTCCAGCCAGCTCACAAGAAGGAGGGGAGAAGGAAGGAGGGAGGAGACCCCCCCCCAAAGAGCTAGGGTGTGGCCTGCCTCCCCACACATCCGGTTGCCCCCCCACACACTCAGAAATGACTCAGCTGGCTAGACTGAGGCTGGGAGGGGGGGGGCTGGGCCTCCATATGTCCACTGGCACGCCTCTATGGGCATTCCAAAGAAAGAACCTGGCACTTGAAAGCTACTCTCTAAGTAGCCAGGAGAAATGAATCTTGGTTTCTCACTTTCTTAGGTTTAGTGTGTACTGTGTACCATTCCAAAGCCCTAAGGATAACTTAGAAGGTCATTTCAGTCCCCTTCTACTTTCTCTGTTCCACATTTCCAAGTTACCAATTCTGGTGCCTATCCATGAGCAGCCCCTTACTTTGAAAAAGGCATAGGATGCTGCTGCAGGAGAGGCCAGTGTCAGCCTCCGCAGCCCAATGACATGGATACTGGGTTGCACACTGAAGCACCTTTCAACCGATCCCTGTATTTTAGACGCAGAAAAGCAATGTCTACCTCGGAAGTAAGAGTTTGGCTCATGATAAACAGCAAAGCTGGAGGCCCAACAGGTCAAGGCCAGGTGAGCGGGTGCCTTCAGTTAACCACACCCAACATACGTTGGTTGCAGTTTTGCTAGCAAGGTCCCCAGGAGGGATCTAAACTGGTGGTTGGAACCCCCTCCAACAGGGGAGCATCTTCCAGGGACAGAAGTTGAGGAAGCCCTAGACAATAGAAGCCACAAGCTGCAGCTTCCACTTTAGAACCAGAGGGGCGCCTAAAGGTCGGAAGGTCCTCTCTAAATCGCCTTACTGGGGAGACCCTGGGCATCCAGCTGCTCAGGGATGGGGTGTGGCACTTAGGAGCAGAAGCCTAGTCTTAAGAAGTCGGGGCACGACCAGGCTCTGTTCGACCACTGGTGCAGCGATGGGGGCGCGGCCTGTGGAGGATGTGAGCTCAGCCTGGGCGCAGGCCAGCAGAGCGCGGCGTGCGGGTGGGGGCACGTAGCGGATCGCACGCTCAGCAGGCCAGCCTGCGCGGCCTTTGTTCTCGAGGACTGCACAGAGCACTGCAGCCCAGGGGCCCAGCGGTACCCTTGGCTGTGCGGGAGCTTGGGAGGGGAACTTGGAGGGGGCCTTCGGGGGGAGAAAAGGAAGAAGTGTGGCGCCCCCGCCCGCGCGGCGCCCCAGGGCGGCCCGCATCCTCACCAATGGACACGAGTTTGATGCTCTCACGGTCCAGGAACTCAAGCGCCACCGATACGTTTTCGAGCTGCATCTGGCGGAAGGTGGGTCGCTGGTTGTGCTTGCGGTGCATCTTCTTCTGACTGAGTACCTCGAGCAGTGCGATGAGCCGCAACCCGTCGCTCAGGTCGGTCTGCAGGTTGGCGATGCGCTTGCTCACGCACTTGAGGTGCTCATTGCACCAGCGAGTGAACGTGTTCTGTTGGATCTTCTTCCATGGCGCGTCCTCCGCCAGGTCTTTCTCGGTAGCCGGCATCTCCGCGTCGCGCGTGTCCGTACCGCCTCCCGGAGCCGCGCCCGCCGCGCTCTGGCCGGAGCGGGAGTGGGAGCTACTCATTTTGAGGCGCGAGGAGCCGGTGGGCGGTGCTGCAGCTTCGGCGAGGGGACGGCCCTTCAATTAAAGTCGTAGGAACCTCAGCGCTGGAGAGCCGAGGCACAGAACAGGCGTTGTTCTGCGGGAAGAGCGAGCCCTTTAAATGCGGGTGGAGGGCGGAGCTGGGGGCGGGGTTTCCTCTGGGCGCGGCCTTCGGGAGCGCCTGCCCCACCTCGCCCCGCCCGTTGGAATGCCTCCTCAAAGACCCCTGTGGGACCCAGCTCCCTGATTCCAGGGAGGGTCTTTGGGCCCCAAAAGGGGCAAAGAGGCTCCCTGGCCCGATAGCGCCGCAGGAAACGGACCACGGAGCGGGGGAGGGGGTAGCTGAGTACTTCTGGCCCAGGATTGCTAAATTCCAACACGCACACCCTTAGAAGGGACGGTCTTTTCTCCAAGCCCCTGCGGGGGGTGGAGCGAATGAGATCTCTGAGTCACCTGGGCTCCGCTTCGACCCTGCACCCCACCCTCCTCTGTCATCATTCCCCCTTGTCCCCGGGCCTAGGGTCCCCATCCGCAGGCTGGTTCTTAGCAATGGGAAGGGACCCCGATTGCATATCCTTCGAGAGCACCCGGAACTACTGCGAGCTCTTTGTGGACGCAATGCCCGAGCAGCGGCAGCCGGGCAGGGCTCACAACTAACTAGGGCACCCTCAGACCCCTGGCCCACCCCGCCCACCCCTGTCGGCCTTTCCGGTCTGCACGGCCCTGGCCTGCGCACCTGCGCCCGCCCATTCCCACCATCTTTCTCCCTGACCCCTCCTTCCATTGGGGATGAAATGGGGCACTGGGCCAGAGGCCGCCAGCACTCCAGGACCAAGGAGCCTTCCAAGGGACCAGGGCGTGCCGATGGGGCGAGCACAGAGTGCCCGCCGTGTGGTGCGTGCAGAAGGACACCTTGTGCCTGCCTAAGTCACCATTCCGAACACTAGAGGTGTTTTCCTCCGGCAGAATAGCCCTTGAGCCCAGTGTGACTCAAGAGGTGGTGGCTTTCTGGCCCCATGAGGATTCCCATAAGGCCTGGCAGACTCTGAGCATCTGTATCTGAGGAGAACTCAAGTTCAGTGGCAAGTGTTAGATGGGTCTCAAGGACAGGATTCCAGGTTACAGAGGGAGGAACACCAGATGTCAAAGCTTGAAGAGCCTCGGTTGTGTACCCAGAGTAGTGTGAAGCTATTCTCTAAAAGTTAATTTTCTGGTAGATAATTCTGGAGACAGTGCAAAGGATGCTGTACTGAGACAAAGAACAGCAAAGGTACAGGGGCATGGAGACTAGAGGGGACACTACTACCTTTTCATTGAAGAGAATTCAGCTTACCTATGTCTTCTTTCCCATTAGTAGACTCCATCTAAGTCATGTGTACTTCCCTCTCCAGAATGTTTCCATCTCTGTCTTTTCTCCAGAAAGACAGGCCTTTATCCCTACGGCTCAATTCTAACAATAATCTCCTAAAGACCAGTAGCTGAAGGAGGCCCTGAGTTGGCCAACGTGTAATGCCCAAATATGGTTGCCTCTCCTATGGCCTGAGGTGTCTGTCTGCATTGCCTGTGGTGGGGCTGTGGCCACAAAGGGCATCACCTCTACCTCAGTATGTTTACCTTGGAGCTGCCTATAATCTCACCAGCCAAATGGCATTTTTAGTACTGAGCCCCCCCCCATACTCTCCCCTATCCTGTTTTCATATACATCTGCTACACCAAATATACCAAAGTGAGAGTTGGGGGATGGGGTGACAGGGAGAACTGTCAAAGGGTATACATGCACATCCTGCTCTGCCTTAGGTGTCATTCAAGACAGGCTTAGAGTTGTCCTTCTGGTCCCCCTGACCTACTGGAGAGTAACAACTTCCTATGTGTGGAATTAAATCAAGAATTGATTCTTGCTCCACTAAGTGCCATTTAGTTGTATCATCTGGCTTCGTTCATTATCAGAGAATAAGGAAACTGAATCACAGTAACTGACCAGTACTCAACTCCAACAGACAGGACAGAATTTGGGTGTCCCACCTTCCTGCCCTATGATCTGACTATTTAGGGGAAAGAAGGAATAAGAGGGGGTGGAGGGTTCTTGTCCTTAGAGTGGATCCAGTACCACCACCAGATGTCGCCCCATCCCAAAGATCCAGATGCGGCAGTCCGAGCAAGCCAAAATCCAGCTCTTTCATATTTTCCCTTATTTGGAGTAGATTCTTGGATGTTAGACACACCCCGCCCACCTCCTCTCCCCCACCCCCAGACCCCAGGCCAGACCCTCCCACAGGGAACCTTAACCCCAAGCCCACCAGCCATACTGGTCCCTGAAGAGCTTTTTCTAGACCGCTGTAGCCAGGGGGCGCCAGGAAGAAAGCAGTAGATCCCCGCCGTGATACCTGTGCCTGCAAAGCAAGTCCAGATGGGACACATGAGAGCATCCATTTCCTGAGCTCTCACCTTGACCATACAGCCTGGAGCTGCAAGAGACTGCCCAATTGGACTTCATCTACTTTTCCTGACCCCATTGGCATTGGGATCTGACTAGCAATGAACAGCCCACTCAGAACCAAACTGAGGACCCAAGACCCAAACGTTAAATCTAGCTGGCCCTAGCCCTGTCACAGCCTCGGAATCAGCTCCTCTGGGCCCAAACCATCTGCTACCAGCAGAGAACCCATCACCCCCCTCGGATCTCTCGTGGCATTAACTGTAGTGGCCTTCCAAGTTACCACTCACTCTTATTCCAGTCAAGGTACTGGTCTCAGGACCTTTCCCAGACAGGCATGCAATGGCTAGTTTCTGGGTGCCCACGCCTGTACCCATCTCCGCCAATCGCTTAGACACCAGCCCCTCTCTCAGGGACCTCTGTGGCCTTGGGCTCCAAAATTCTAGGGCACAAACACAAGTTTGTGGGTACACTTTGTAAGGTAGCCTCTAGACACCACTCGCAGATGCCTGGGCCCTGGGCCCACACACCCAAGCTGCACCTGGCTTCCGCCTCTCCGCCCACCTTCCTGACCTCTCCTTTCAGCTCTGGAGCGCCGCACCGACTGCCCGCACAGAGCAGGACACAGAGCCCTCACCTGCTGTCCCTGCCACCGCCGGGTGGCGCCCGGCTCTCCGCGCCCCCGCCGGACGCCTCAGGGCTCTGCTGGCGTCCGCTGCGCTACGCGCGCCTCCACGCGAATGCGCTGCTGCCGCCCGCCTTCTTGTTGGCTGCATCCCCGCCCCACGCCCGCCCCGCGCCCCGCCGGGCCGGGCCCGGCAAGAAAGCCTTAATTGGTAAAATCGCCCCGGAGCCGGGGGCGGGGAGGGGGTGCGGGGGCGCGCCATGAGCTCTAGTGCCGGGCCGCTTGGCGACACCGCCCCCCAGGATGAGCTCAGCTCTCTGACAGGGCCGCCAGGCTTAAGGGGGGGGGCTCACCTCCAGTGCTGGGTCTGCAAGGCCCATGTCTAGGCCTAACCTCAGCGAGACTGGATGGCTAAGTTTAGGGGAACCCTAAACTTTCCAGCGCCCTAGCTGGAAAGACTGCTCCAAGGCCACCCATTATAGGGAGTTGTCCACAATCACAACCTTTTGTCTCTGCCCAAGCCTGGGCTAGCCACACAGGTCAACCCTGGCCCCATGGGGTAGAGGCAACAGGCATTGCAGGTGTTTACTAACCATCTACCATGTGTAAGGCCCAGAGGGTGGACTACAGGTCCCTGGGCTCTGTGATGACCAAGCCCCCTGCCTGTCATTGATTTGGCTCCTGATATGTGCAGTTCTTGGCCTAGCAGTGGGTAGTAGCAGAAACTTACTGAACTCTCAGAGCAATCAGGTGCAGTCTCAAAGCCTGCAAGTGTGCAATAGGGTACAAAGAGCCAAGTGTCTGTCAGCTTGGTGGGTATAGCCATGCCCTGACACTGCCATGCTCTCTTCCTCTTTTATGTGCCCATTTCCTGGTAGCTTCAGATATAGCTCAAATGTCACTTCCTAGAGGAAGGCCACAAAAAGCAGTGCCATTTTAATATTTTTGCCTACAATCCCAATATACGCTACACTTTATATTGTGCCAGCACACTCATATGCACACATAACACACAAAACGGACTTTTCACAAACAAGATTTCCCTTACTGTATAGAATTGTATTCTGACTGTGTGTGTGTGTGTGAAATTCAGTCTCACCATAAAGCCGGCTGACCTGGAACTCACTACACAGCACCCACACAAGGCCTCAAACTCCTGGCAATCCTCCTACTTCTGCCTCCTGGGTGCTGGAATGACCGGCATGAGCCACCACACCCAGCTTGATTTTTTTTTTTCCTACTCTGTATCAAAAAAAGAAGGAAGCCAGGCACAGTGGCACATGCCTGTCATCCCAGCACTCAGGAGGCTAAGAGGACTCCAAACTCCAGGCCAGCCTAGGTTAAATAGATGAGAGTGAAAGAGGGGAGAAAAGGGAAAGCAGGAGGGGGGAAAAAGAGGAGGAGGAGGAAGAGGAGAGGAAGGAAGAAAGGAAAAAGAAAAAAATAATAAAAAAGAATAGAAGGCAATGAGGGAGTTTGATCACACCTGCAGAGTGAATTTTGCAATCTATAGTTTAACTTGAATAGCAAGGTACTGGGCCCCTCCAGGTCTCTGAATCCACTGCTGCCTTTGTCAGCTCTGCTGACAATATTCCACACTTTGGCCTCCCAATAGTGCCAAGGTCTCTCACTGTTCCTCCAGTAAAACACCCCTACTAGAAAGGCCAGATTATCTTCATTCACTAGACTAGGGGGACTGATTTCAGGTTCATGAGGTGTCTGAGCCAGAGTTCATGGAAAAGACTGTTCTTCCATGAGGGAAACTCTTATGCACAAGCATAGCAATCATGGCCAATGGTAGGCAAATGGAAGAGGTAGTCAGTGTGTGGTGGAGTTTCAGAACCCGCTACTGCATTTGAATTCTTTGCCCTCCCACTGCACATATACACTCTAAACACAAAAAGTTAGTGCTTCAGGGCTGCAGAGATGGCTCAGCGTTAAGAGCACTTACTGCCCTTCCAGAGGTCCCAGGTTCAGCTCCCAGCACCACATGGTAGCTAACATTCATCCTTAACTCCAGTTCCAGGGGATCTGAGGATCTGAAACCCTCTTCTGGCCTCCACAGGCAACATGCATATACATACAGACAAAAAAACACTCATACACATAAAATACAAATAAAATCTCTCTCTCTCTCTCCTCTCTCTCTCTCTCCTACAAGGTCTCCCTGTAGCTCCAGCTCACCTGTAACTCACTATGGCCTCAATCTCATAGAGATCCACCTCTGTCTACCAAGTGCTGGGACTAAAGGCATGTGCACCACAATACCCAGGCTTAAAAAAAAATTTTTTTTAAAGAAGTTAGTACCTCAGCTTCTTTCAGGTCTATCACATATGAAGATTAGTATAGAAATAACTGTCCCTTCATGAAAATCTTAAGACGTTAACGACATGTTCTCTTTGTGGTGAATAAATGTTTTCATGTAGACTTTTCCTTACAGCTTTTTTTATGGTACTGGAGATTGAATTCAGGGACTCATACGTACAGGTCAAGTAACCTACAACTGAGCCAACTACATCCCTAGTCCTCATTTTACTTTTTATTTTGAGACAGGATCTCACTAAGTTACCCACCCAGGATGGCCTTGAATTCCCTCTGTAGCTGAGGCAGGCCTTGAACATTTAATTCCCAGATTCCTGAGTGCCAAGTATAATTACAGGCCCAACTATTTTCTTTTTTTGGTCTTTTTTTGAGACAGGGTGGCCTGGAACTCACTATGTAGACCAGGCTGGCCTTAAACTCACAGAGATCCGCCTGCCTTTGCCTCCTGAGGGCTGGGATTAAAGGCATGCGCCACCATGCTCAGCCCAACTATTTTCTTATTCTTAACTTAGAATGGGTCATTTCCAAGCTGTTTCCCTGTTGGCTACACCTGCCAATGTCTACTTCCCAAGAAGATCTCCCCAGAGACCCAGAGTACCCCGTACACACCCTTCCTGTCCCTCTTAACTCGCGATTGACAGGTGTGAGGCCAGATCAGGTCAGCACCTGGAGGAGTACGAACTTCTAGGGGACAATACTTCCATGACTGTATCACTCAATTTGGGGCTATTGCAAAAGCCTCATTTGACTCTGGAATCCTGATTCCTCCTCTGTATGAAGGAAAGGGTGCAGTCTCTTAGCTCTATTGGTTAAGAGCTTGCCTGGCCCCTGGTCATCTAGAATGAAGCTACATTGCAATGGAGCTAGACTTATGCTCCAGGTCCCCAGACAGTGTGTGCAAGACCACTACAGTTCAGCTTCCTGGTGCCATCTGTGATGGGATCTTATAATGGGACAGTGGGGGGAATAAAAGGCAGAGTTCTGTGGCAGGTGCAGAGGGTGTTCCTTAGGGAGAAGGCAAACCTAGAATTCCTTGACCTCATAAGGAAACAGCTTGGATCTGTATGGGGAGGGGTGGCATGGGGGAGGACTGAGCAATCACTCTGTACACACAAGGCCTCTGGGAGAGGGGCCAGCACTTGGGGAGAGGGGGTAGGGAATCTGATTTTGCCAAAACTAAAAAAATCCATGAGCCAGCCAGTGACTGGGCCAGAACACACAAACACACACACACACACACACACACACACACACACACACACACACACAGGCCCCAGTACACTTGCTCGAGGTTCTCCTGCCTCTTAGTGCCACACAGTATCTTTTTCAGGGACCCATATATTTCCTCCCACATTTCTGGGAGCAGAGGAAGGCCTTGACTTTAAGCTAAAACCCAACCAAGAGAAATTCTTCTTTAAGGTCTTTGTGATTAAAACAGGACTTCAAAGCCGGGCGTGGTGGCACAGCTTTTAATCCCAGCACTCGGGAGGCAGAGGCAGGTGGATCTCTGTGAGTTCAAGGCCAGCCTGGTCTACAAAATGAGTTCCAGGCCAGCAGGGGCTACGGGGAGACCCTGTCCTAAAAAGACCAAACAACAACAACAAAAAAAGGACTTCAAGCAGCCTGAAGAGCACCTTTGATCACAGCAAAAGCAGGTGGTGCTCACAGAGGCCAGCCTGGTTTATGTAGTGAGTTCAAGACTAGCTGAAACTACAGAGACTGTCTCTCTCAAACAAACAAAGCAAAACAAATCAAAACCAGGGTTCCATCTCCTCATCATTGCCCATTTCAAATTTCCATGGAGAATTGGCCTTCACCAGAGTGCAGTCAGGCCAGCCTAGAACTGACCAGAGTTCTCACAGTCACTAGCTATTATGTAAGAGATTGGGCATCTCTGCGTATTCCCCCAATAAGGGGCAGTCTTACCGTTACCCCAAATCGCATCAGCTGACTTTGTGTAGAATATGGTTACTGTTTGAGACAATCATTTTCTGATCAATCACCCACTGTTAAGCCACAGTCCAGATCTTTAGAAAGCCTTCCTGTTCTGCACTCTGCCACCTTTTTGGTCACAGCCGGCTCAAGGACTATCATGCCAGTTGAGAATCCTTCCTCAGATCCCTTCAGAGCCCCAGGTCTTCGGGTAATGGTGACTTAGGCAGGTACAAGGTGTCCTTCTGCACGCACCACACGGCGGGCACTCTGTGCTCGCCCCATCGGCACGCCCTGGTCCCTTGGAAGGCTCCTTGGTTCTGGAGTGCTGGCGGCCTCTGGCCCAGTGCCCCATTTCATCCCCAATGGAAGGAGGGGTCAGGGAGAAAGATGGTGGGAATGGGCGGGCGCAGGTGCGCAGGCCAGGGCCGTGCAGACCGGAAAGGCCGACAGGGGTGGGCGGGGTGGGCCAGGGGTCTGAGGGTGCCCTAGTTAGTTGTGAGCCCTGCCCGGCTGCCGCTGCTCGGGCATTGCGTCCACAAAGAGCTCGCAGTAGTTCCGGGTGCTCTCGAAGGATATGCAATCGGGGTCCCTTCCCATTGCTAAGAACCAGGCTGCGGATGGGGACCCTAAACGTTGGAACACGAGGAAACAAAGCAGGTTGAGGCTAAAGTGACAAAGGGACGTGAGAACACAGCGCCTCTGAACTGCAGGCTTGTTTCTACAGGCTCAAACGAGTGTTTTCCGCCCCCTACCAATGTCTAGGTCAAAACACACGGGGAGAGAGTGGTCACCCCACCTCCAGAAGCCCAGCTCTAGCAGGGTCTGCAGCCTCGGGCTCCGTACAGGCCCCGCCCGTCTTCCTCCACAAGCCAATCCCACACAGCTCTGACGCATCGGTTCTCCAGCCCCGCCCCCTGGCAGTTTGCCAGTTACCGCCGCCAGACCGCTCTACACGGGTTGCTACGGAGGATTTGATCCTTCCCCTTCAGCGCACGCAATCTGCGTAGGCCTCTGCTGTGACGCAAACTTGACAGCGGCGTGACGCGAGTCTAGCCGCTCCCGAGGTGCTGGCGCTGCTTCTGCGGCGCTTCGAGGCTTCCGCCGCTCGGGTAGTGTGTACAGGCCTGGGCCGCCCCTGGCCTCCACCGCCTGCTAGTGCGGGCCGCGTGTGCCATGGACGACTACGCGGTTCTTTCGGACACCGAGCTGGCCGCAGTGCTGCGCCAGTACAACATCCCTCACGGGCCTGTCGTGGGTATGCGGCGGCCGCTAGCGCGAAGGACTCCTCCCGGGCCCCGCTTCCCGCGCTCGATTCTGAGCGCCCCCACCCCCTCCTTTCCCCAGGTCCCCTCCCCGCGTACCCCGGCTCTCTCGGGGCGTTCAGCCCTCGTCCCCTGATTGCCCCGCACCCTGTGTCTGGCCAGGCTCCACTCGAAAGCTCTACGAAAAGAAAATCTTCGAGTACGAGACCCAGAGGCGAAGGCTCTCGCCCCCAAACTCGTCGTCGTCTTCGTTCTCCCATCGGTTTTCAGGTGACATGTCCGTCGTGAAGCCCCGCAGCGACACTTGGGAGACAAGGCTTAGACGCTGGGGAGACTGGAGTAGGGAGGGTGTGGCGGGGCCACTGTGGGGAGAAGGGAAGCCTGGAGAACAAATGGTTGTCTACCCCCTCCCCTAATGCAGACTTGGATTCGGCCTCCGTGGACTCGGATATGTATGATCTGCCCAAGAAAGAGGACGCCTTACTCTACCAGAGTAAAGGTAAGTAAGGCAGGTATGGGATGGGCACAAACACCTTTACTGAAATGCTTCAGAGACGCAAGCACAGGGAAGACTGAACCCCGCCCCCCCACACACACACCAGTCCTCTGTAGCCCCAAGGGAAGAACTGGCACAGGCCTATTCCCAGCTTGGGGCCATGAGGCCAGCTGGGGGATACCACATCCCCATTTACCACTGTCCTTCTCAAGGCTATAATGATGACTACTATGAGGAGAGCTATTTGACCACCAGGACATATGGGGAGCCCGAGTCTGTAGGCATGTCCAAAAACTTCCGCCAGCATCTCCCAGATAAGGACACTTTCCACCACCAGGTGAGTTTTCCCACAAGCACCACTGGGTACAGCCTGACGGGATCCTAGCTAGATTTGCTAAGTACAGGTAACTACTGGGTGTGGAGGGTGGTTCCTGGGCCTTCAGACAGGGTTAGGGTCAGCACACACCTATTTGGTCAAATTTCTACTTTGGGGGCCTCTGAAACTCTTAGATTCAGGAATGGTCAGGTAGCTCAATGGAGGACCAGTACCCATGGCTCCATCCCCAGCAGCACACACAAAACGTTTTTGTAACCAGAGTACATGCGGCCCTCACTGCACTCTGGTCTGGGATCTAGATTTAAGCTTTCTAAAAATCCTGAAAAGAAAGGATGTTGGGACAAAGATAACTGGGATAGTCACTGACTTGCAAAGCAGCACAGAAAAAAGGTTAAGAACCCAGAATAGTTCTTCAGGAGGCAGGGCCTTTAGTGTATAGTCAGAGTATATACCCAGGTACATTTGCGGGAAAGAACCCTGCTTTCCAGCTCCCTGACCCCCAACTCTCCTACAGGTGCGTGATGACATTGTTTTCTCTTCTTCAGAAGAGGAGGGCAAAGATAGGTGAGTAGTATACAGGGAGAGGGATAGGTCTGGGGCCCAGACTCTCCTGCCCACCTGCTCTCTTCTTTTGCCACAGGGAACGCCCTATCTATGGCCGGGACACTGCCTACCAGAGCATCGGACGCTACCGACCCATTTCCAATGTCTCCAGGAGCTCCCTGGGCTTGTCCTGTTACCCTACATCTTCCACCTCCCCTGTGTCCTCCTCTTCATCTTCTTCATGGCTCACCCGCCGTGCCATCCGGCCTGAAAAGCAGGTCCCTGATGCTGCTCTAGGCCAGGATCGCCATGTCCCACTCTGGGGCCAACTTTTGCTTTTCCTGATCTTTGCTGCCTTTCTGCTCTTTGTTTACTACTCCATGCAGGCAGAAGAAGGCAACCCCTTCTGGATGGATCCCTGAGGACACTGGCTTCAGAGTCAGCTCCTCTGGGGAGTCCTGGCTAATTGCCTTAGCAGTGTTTGCTGGGGGTGGGTTGGTGGGGACTTTTCTGTGTGTTCTAGTTTTAGGGGGTGCAGGGCCTAGCCCACGGCAGGGCTTGCTTCCCACCTCAGCCTGCCAGGGAAGCAGCAGAGTTTGGCCCTCTGTAGCCGGGTCAGCCCAGAGGCTTCCTCTGAAGCCTCTAGCCCTTTTGCCTCTGACCTTTAGAGGAGAGGCAAGACCTCACTCCTTTAGATGAGAACATAGTGGTGGTTGTTGTCATGCATGCCTTGTTTCTTGACACCTTTTCAGGGGGTTATAAACCAAATGCCACCCTGACTTTGTTGTCTGTCATGGACCCAATAAAAAATGTGTTTATTTTTACCTTGTTGGCTCTTCCTGCTGCAGTGGAAGTTGGGCTGCCATGACACCAGGCTTTGGTCTTGGATCTCAAGGATCACTGTGGCTTTGCCTGTTTGACTTTGTATTTTTGCTTTGGTCTTGGGGAAGGGACCAAATGCTACCCAGAGATAAGTTTGGTTTGTGGGTTTATTCCTGGGTTCATTCCCTGAAGCACTTGTAACTAATATAAATAACAACTGTGATTACACAGCCAAATGTATAGAGAACCCTATGGGAAATGCAGGCAAAGCAGTGTGGACAATACTACATGCGGGGACATTATTCACAAGAGATTGATGCCAGTCTCTGAGGTCACAAGGATGGAAAGGAATGAATGAGACAATTTGTAGGTTGTTACTCCTGGGATTGGTGGTCCTTTGATGACATGGGGGAGTTCCAAAGACTGCAGTGCTCCCTCATCTGTGGGCACCCTAATTTCTTTACCTGTTTATTGCTCAATTTCCAGGTTTTCTACCCTGGGCATATATTACATAACATTAAAAATATGTGTGTGTGTGTGTGTGTGTGTGTGTCCATATGTCATGGCATTCATGTGAAGAGCAGAGAATAACTTTTTAATTCTCTCCTATTATATGGATCCCAAGTACCTTTACTGACTGATCCATCTCACCAGCCCTGCATATTTTTTAAAGTATGTGCTAAGGAAATCCAAGATTGGCTGGAGAGATAGCTCACCAGTTAAAAGCATGTACTGCTTTTCCAGAGGGCCCCAGCTGGATTCCTAGCACCTGTGTCAGGCAAGCTGACTGAACATGAACTCCATCTCCTCATACATGCAGATAATACACTCATAAAAAATAAAAATAAGCTGGCCATGGTGGCGCACACCTGTAGTCCCAGCACTTGGGAGGTAGAGGCAGGCGGATCTCTGAGTTCAAGGCCAGCCTGGTCTACGTAGTTCCAGGACAGCTGGGGCTTACAGGGAGTTTGAAGCTAGTCGGGCTATGTGAGACCCTATCTCAAAAAAACAAAAGGGCCATCAAGATAACTTACAGGTTAAAAGTGTTTACCATGCAAGCCCAATAACCTGAGTTCAATTCCCAGAACCCACATAAAGGTGAAAGGAGTGACCAACTCCACAAAGTTGTTTTCTGATCTCATATATCCACATACCCACATCAAGCACATACACAGTAAATTTTATTTTAAGAGCACAAAGCCAGGATAGGGTTTTTTATAAAAGCACAAACCCACATGGTGTCTTGCATGCCTGGCTTCATGCTGCCAACAGGAAAGGAAAGCACACACACAGGCACACATTCCCCACAGACAAGTGAGAAGCAGAGGCTTGGCCAGGAATGGGGCCCTGGCTTCAGTCCCTTGCCTGACTTGCTCCTTGTTACAGGTGGTGGGACTCAGCCAAGTTTCTTATCTGATAGAGTGCTCATGCAATGCCTCTACATATACCCTGGGCTCCTGGTACCTTCAGAGGCTCTTGGCAGTGTAGGGCTGCAAGATGATCCTGCAGCAGGGAAGTGACCCTCACCACCTGCTCGTGGCTATTTCTCTTCGTTTCATCCTACGTTAATTTTTTATGTATATGAGTGTTTTGCCTACATGTAAGTGCACCTGTGCATGCAGTGCACATGGAGGACAGAAGAGGGTGTCAGACCCTCTGCAACTGAAGTTAGGGATGGTTGTTAGTCACTATGTAGGTGCTGGGAAGTGAACCTGGGTCCTCTGCAAGAGCAACAAATGCTCTTAACCAGTGAGCCATCTCCAGCCCCTCTACATTGTTTTTTAACAATTTTAAAATATATTTTTATTCATTATTTTTTGTGATCTTAAAAATAATACATGATTCCCAATAACCACATAGCAGCTCATTACAGACTGTTGTGAGCTGCAATGTGGGTGCTGGGAATTGAACCCGGGTCCTCTGCAAGAGCAGCCAGTGTTTTTGTTTTTGTTTTTTTTTGTCTTTTTGAGACAGGGTCTCCCTGTAGCCCCAGCTGTCCTGGAACTCACTATGTAGACCAGGCTGGCCCTTGAACTCACAGGGATCCACCTGCCTCTGCCTCCCAAGTGCTGGGATTAAACATGTGTGCCACCATGCCTGGCCCCAGCCAGTGTTCTTAACTGCTGAGCCATCTCTCCAGCCCCAAATCATTGAAATTTTTTAAAGAATGTGAGACTTTTAAAGTTGGATGTATTTTATTTTATATTAACATAAGATCTTGGGGACAAACAAGAAAGCAAAGGTTCTGGTTCAAGGTGATGTGCTTGTGTGTCAAAGTTGACAAGAGGTGGAGTATCATAATTAGCTTCAGTTGTCACCTTGACAGCAACCTAGCATCATGTGGGAAGAGGGAATCTTAATTGAGGCATTACCTCAATTGAGGACTATGTATGTCAGATTGGCCTGCAGACCTGTCTGTGAGGCATTTTCTTGATTCCTAATTGATGTAGGAGGGCCCAGCTGCAGGGTGGGTGGTGCCATCCTTAGGTAGGTATGCCTAACTCCTATAAGAAAAGTAGCTGAGGGGCTGGAGAGATGGCTCAGTGGTTAAGAACAGTGGTTGCTCTTGCAGAAGACCCAGGTTCAGTTCCCAGCACCCACATGGTGGCTAACAACCATCCTTAACTCCAGTTCCAGGGGCTCCTACGCCATCTTCTGATGTCCACAGGCATTTCAAGACATGGGTGCACTCACATACATGCAGGCAATACACTCATGCACATAAAATAAAAATAATGAATTTTTCAAAAGGTAGATGAGCCAGGCATAGTAGTGCACGCCTTTAATCCCAGCACTCAGGAGGCAGAGTCAGTGGATCTCTGTCAGATCAAGTCCACCCTGGTCTACATAGTGAGTTCCAGGCCAGCTGTGGCTATAGGGAGATCCTGTCTCAAAGAGACCAAAGAGAAAAAATAAAGGTAGCCAAGCAAGCAGCAGCATTGCTCCATGGTGTTTGCTTCAGTTCCTGCCTCAGCTTCTCTCAATGATCCACTATAATCTGTAAGCTAAAATGAACCCTTTCCTTCCCAAGTTGCTTTCAGTCAGTGTTTATCAGAGCAACATTAAAGCAAATTAAAACAATCCCCAACAGCACCTAAGGAGGACATGGTGACAGCTTCCTGCTTCCCCACGTTCTCACATAGTACACTGAGGGGGACTGGCTGCCTGGGGTCACTATTGGACTGTAGCTTGCTGAGGACCAGGCAGAAGCAGGAGGGCCATAACACAGGTGCTCCTCTGGGACCTGTGATAGCAGTAAGGTTGACCTTCCAAAGCTCTGAGGCAGTAGCTGCTGTGGAGAGAAGGGACAGCAGCAGAAGAAAGAGAGCTAAGCTCAGAGGCTTTGGGACAAAAGGACCCCCTCAGCCTCAGGTCCCAGAACTGTTGTAGGTGTGGAGAACAGAGCAGGCAGCTGTGTATGTGTATATATAATGCAACTTCATACTTTCTGGCATAAAGGAAGAAAAAGTGGTCACGATGTGTCATAGACTCTCCTGTTTTTCATTCATTCATTCCTCAAGGGCTCCTAGGTTCATCCATGGCCAAGGACCAGACAGAAAGAAGGTCCCTAGGGCTGGAGAGATGGCTCAGCAGTTAAGATTGCTAGCTGTTCTTCCAGAGGACCCAAGTTCAGTTCCCAGCACCCATGTCGGGCAGCTCATAAGCACCTGTAACTACAGCTCCAGGAGATCTGACACCCTCTACTGTCCTCTGTGAGCACCTGCATGCATGTGGAATACATTCACACAGATACATACACATAATTTTAAAATAAAATAAAATAAGTTCCTGAAGTCTCTGAGACTCCCTAGGTCTCTACTCCAGGCACCTGCCTGGGTTCCTCTCAGATTCCTGAGGACTCCCTGAGGTTCCCAACTCCATGCTCCATCCAGTCCTAAGAGTTCTGGAGTCCTACAAAAGTACCTGAATGCTCCAAACATGACCCAAGTACTCTGTATGCCCCAACCACCTGTATGCCCCAACCACAAGGCTTGTGAAGGCTCTGTAGACTTTCAAGTGAAATAGAGGCCTCTAGGCAAGCCTCCACCAAAGTACTTTGAAACTGACTGTCCAAGATCTGAGGGCCTCCTGTGACCAACTCTAAAAAGTTCCAAGGATTCAGAGTTACCAGTAGTCAGGGTTCCCGACGGCAAGGACTCTCACCGTTATTCTGCTCCTCTCCCCCTAGACTCCAGCAACACACAGGATGTAGCCGCCCAAAGTCTCAGCCATAGGCTGTACCAGGTCCTGTGCAGTCACCCAATTCTCTCCCTCTTGGACCATAAGGGTACAGCCTGTGGCTATACTATTTGCCAAGTCAGCATGATGGTGTGCTGGCTCTGATGACCAGGGAGGAGCCCAATAGCCAATAGCATGTGCAGGACCCTATGTACTTGTGTCCTACTTGTACCTTGGACATTGTCTTCTGGGACTGACTACCCTCAGTCCAGGAATCATTCTAGCCTTGGGTGTAGAAAGTAAGGACCCATTTTAGTTCAATCTCCAGTGCAAAAAGAAAGTAAAAATTGATGATCTAGTCCCATTTTTGTTCCTTTAGTCTCTGAGGGTCTCCATTTCTTTTCAACCGTGGCGCTGCCCTTTTACAAAAGCCCAGAAGCCACTAGGAAAAGTCTGTAAATTCCAGTGAGATGTAAACTAGACTCCTTTGCTGAAGTCCCAACCTCCCCCAAGCCACAAAAGCAAGAAACAAATGAAAGTGGAGCAAACTGCCGGTAAGCTGTGGCTGCAGGCTCCTATTGCTCTCCTCTAGACAGCCAGAACAGATCTACAGCCAGAAGTGCAAGGGTGGAGTGGAGAAGAATGGAAAGGAGAGAAGGAAAAGCTCCAGCACCTGCGTGGGGTGGGGTCTGGAAGATGATCTGTTCCCACCGCAGTAAGAGGCTAGGTCCGTGGAGGTCGGGCTCCAGATGAGTCACCCCCACAGCTGCACAAACACCAACCAGGTTAAAAACTGGCCAGTGAGCACCACTGTCTCCAAAAGTCAGATGGCGGCATGTGGTGCTAGACTGTGGTGCAGACGCTCCCCTCCCCCGTCCCCCA